ACGAGAAATTTCCCATGGATAATCGACGAGATAGTGACGGTGATTGGGATGGGTTCATTGTTGTTCTGGAAGAAAGGAAACCGCGCTATTCCTTCTTCTCTTTCAAGCTAAAACCTCCGCCATTTGTCTGCTATACCATACCTATGCTAAGGGGAAAACCCGTATCAGACAACCAGCATGAACAGCTTCTCTGGCAGATACCTCGTTCGAAACGTCGCGACTTTTCAAACCTCAGGAACATTTTCTCACTGAAAGCTGGCGTTCCTCAGGTTAAGATTCAGCGAGAGAAGTTCCTCGATCAGGAGTGGTTCCTTCTCAAAATCGTTTACACCAAGTCGTTGGCCCAATATGCCATGCCCATCACCAGGGCCATCACAAGTCTGCGCCCATTCATAGAAACACGATGCGCCCATGCTTGAACTACTGTGATCTGCTCATCATGAATGATGTCTTCGTCATGCTGGTTCCCTACATGGCCTGGCATCTGAATAGCAGGAGTTACACAGCCAGCTGGAAGGAAGACGTTATACGTTACGGCCTATTGCTTCTGAACTACCTCCTTCGCTATAAAGCCTGTCTCGTAATTTCATTCTCTTTTCAATGTATACATTCTTTCCTCACACCTACAAAGAGACTTAAGCCAATCCGCTGGCCTCGGTATCGTGCATGATAGCGATTCTCTTATTGGCGAAGCGTGGACCAAAGTTCTGTGAGATTTCAGAACTGAATCCACGACAGACGATGCAACAGATAATGAGGAACTTTGGTCATGGACAGGGCATTATGTCACATATACGGACTCTATCACTTGTTACGCCATGTTGTTCCTTTACCTTGTGTGAAATGGATTTGTTGCGATACGATGCAATTCAATAGTATTTTTCATTATCATGTCTCTCTTAAATTAAGTCACAAACCTTCCGTTTTCAGTTTGTTAAACCAGTGCTATCTTTGTACTCAGTCTGATCAAAATCACACCGTAAAATGATTGGAGCCATCAAAGACAATACATTGATTTTGAGTGTTTCCAAGGCAGGTGCAGAACATGGCCTCTGAGCTTCGATCCGAAGAGACCACGACTCCCCTTCCGGAAATGAAATTGTGGGAAGTCTTTAACAGAATGTGATGCTTCAAAAGCTTAGTGATGAAGTTCAATACGCTTCTTAACATTCACTACAAATTTTGGTTTACTGTTCTCAACTACGCTAGTAGGTGGCTGTCAGCCTCTGTACGAGGTACTGCCCGCTGTTGATACCATCGTATTTCTTCTCCTCCTCCGTGGCGTACGTCCCCGGGATAGCCTCGATATGACTCTTGAAGTTGGGGTTGCAAAAGTACCTATTCATCATCGTCAGCACATCATAAGTTTCAACAACATACACTCCAGTCACTTACGCAATACTGTAACGGGGAGGATACTCCTCCCCGTCCTCCGGCTTCCGCGGCGGCTCCACGACGCGGTGAATCGTGCTCTTGATAGTATCATTGCTCCACCGCGCAAGCAAATCCCCAGCGTTAACCACAACCGTCCCAGGAATCGGCGTAGCATCCACGAACCGCCCATTCGGGCTTCGCACCTGCAGACCCCCGCGGTCATCCTGGAACAACAGCGTAATCGATCCGTAATCGCTGTGCTCTCCAGCGCGCACCTGACCGGGGTTCACCTTGAAGACGTTGGGGTCGACGGAAGGGTAATGCAGCAGACGCAGCGTGTTGTCCCCGACGTCGGTATACCCGTCAAAGAACCGCTCGTCCTCCAACCCCATGCCCACCGCAATGGCGCGCATCACCTCGACGTGCAGCGCCTTGCACTGCCCAAAGAACTCGAGCATCTGCGTCTTGAACCCGGCCACGCGCTCGCCGTCCCGCTCGACGGGCCACTGGTTCGGGTGGTCCGGCTCGCCGTCGCGGCCAATCTCAAACGACTCCTTGAGGTCCGGGTTCCCCGCGCGCACCTTTTCGATTTCCTCGTTGGTGGTGAGGTTGCTGACTTTCTCGCGGCCGGGCGCGGAGTAGCCGCGGTTGGCCTGCGGGGTGGTCCAGCCGAGGCCTTGCTTGACGGCGTCGGACTGGGAGAAGAAGTCTGCTGATTTGGCAAAGGTGGCGGCGCGGAGGTCCTGGCTGATGGGGACGTTTTGGAGGTAGATGAAGCCTGCGTTTTGGAAGCCGTCGAGGACTTGCTTTGCTGTTTCCTTGCGCTTGGCGGCGTCGCCGTTGAGGAAAGCTGAGAAGTCAATGAGCTTGACGTTGATGTCAGTTTGCGATGCATGAGGTATATGCGATTACGATGAAGGTACGTCACTGATGTCACTCACGGGGATGAAGAGACCCTCCTTGTCTACTGCTGGAGCTGCCATGATGATCTAGTTGTTGCTTTCTTCACTGGGGTTGAGAGGGGATGGATGAGAGATTCAGAGATGAATGTGGTCAGTTGAGACTTGGGAGCATCACATGTATCAGGGTGAGGTGTAATCTCGAGGAAGAAGTCACGATAAGGTTCGTTACTAAATCCGTGCGGTACAGGTTCCGAGCGACTTATATCTATCCGTCGATACGATAGGTTGTGTAAGTACCTGGTCGCGGGCAACTGGCGGCGGCCCAGCCAACCAGAGGCCGAGCATTAACATCGTAAGTTAACAGCCAACCACCGGCGCCGTCTAATCAGTTCCGGACGGGGCCAGGCGTTGCCCCTTGTTGATCCCCGGCCAGAACGGGGCACTACGGGGAGAGACTCAAGAGAGAACCCTTTTACAAGACCGGCTGGGTCCGCGGGTGCACGAGTGGGAAGTTCATCGGAGAGCTCCTACACGTTATACTTTTGTGTAAGCAGTACCTCAGTGTCTCACACTGGAGAGGAGGGGGGGAGAAAGAAAGTCTGACGATAAGATGCCGGTGGTGCGTTGAAGGCTGGCGCGCGGAAAGACGATTGGAGATAACGGCGGGGTAAAGTAGAAAGATAATCGACAAGGGAAGGATTGCCTTAGTACCTTACTTACCTTTGGAGACGCCCGTGTGTGGGGTTTTGTGAGGTATGCGGTGCATTGAGACGCTTGCATATGAGGGGAACATGGATTGGAGGGGGAACCAGGCGTTGCGGGTCATGGCAACCTCATCACCTTCCTGGAAAGATGTAGTTTGTCGGGTAACTGGTACTTGTCTTCTTAAAAAGGAAGACGAGGGGCAACACAGCTTTGCGTGCTCCTGGGAAAGCTTCCAACTTGGAAACAGACCACAACACCAACAATAACAAGATTCTGTTCTTTTCCTGTTCGTGGCTTGCGGGAGAGATAAGTCGAGATCTCTTACCATCTTAGCTACAAGTGAGCGTCTGCATCTTGTAAGTCGACCCAGCATCATGACTTGGAAAGCTCAAAGCTGAACCACTGGCTAACGACAAGTAGACCAATCACCGAGACTGAATTGACTGTATTTCAAGTCATCTCAATACCAGCTCCAAGTGAAGACGAAAGGCAGCAAAGAGACGTCATCAGATCGTCCAATTTCACAATGGCCTCATCAACACCCATGACGGTGGTGGACGTCCACACCCACATGTACCCCCCGTCCTACGTCAAGATCCTCGAATCTAGAACCACCATTCCCGTCGTGCGCAGCTTCCCGCAAACACCAGACCCGCGCCTCATCCTCCTGGCCTCGGAGGAACAAGCCCTCGATGAGGCTACCAAGGATCCTTCAGCGAAGCCTCCTGGCCGGCCGCTGACCTCTCACTACGCCTCGCTCGACCAAAAGGTCCACTTCATGGACACGCACAAGATCAACATCTCGGTCATCTCCTTGGCGAACCCGTGGCTCGACTTCATCGATGCCTCCGAATCTGGCGCCATGGCCAAGGGCGTCAACGAGGAGTTCGACGGCATGTGCGCCGCACACCCGGGCCGCCTCTTCTTCTTTGCTGCTCTGCCTCTGACGGCATCACTCGAGACCATCTTGGAGGCCATCAACCACGTCAAAGCCCTCAAGTACTGCCGCGGCATCATCCTCGGCACTTCGGGGCTCGGCAAGGGCCTCGACGACCCGGACCTGCTGCCCATCTTCAAGGCCATCGCCGCCGCCCGCCTGACCATCTTCCTGCACCCGCACTACGGGCTGCCCAACGACGTCTGGGGTCCCAGGGCGAGCAACGAGTACGGCCACGTTCTTCCCCTGGCCCTGGGTTTCCCGATGGAGACCACCATCGCCGTGGCACGCATGTACCTGGCTGGCGTCTTCGATGACGTCCCAGAGCTGCGCATGCTTCTTGCGCACAGCGGCGGCACGCTGCCTTTCCTGGCGGGACGCATCGAGAGTTGCATCATGCACGACGGGCAGCTGGTGCGCGAGGGCAAGGTCGGCAAGGGCCGCCGGACGATTTGGAGTGTGCTCAAGGAGCAGATCTACCTCGACGCCGTCATCTACTCAGAGGTTGGGCTGAAGGCGGCCATCGATGCCAGTGGAGCGGATAGACTCATGTTTGGCACTGATCATCCCTTCTTCCCGCCATTAACCTCTGATGAGCAGGGCGAGTGGGAGAGTGTGAGCATGAATGCTGATGCCGTTGCTGTGGCGGTGGGTGAGGGAAGCGAGCAGGCCAAGGCCATCATGGGCGGCAATGCGATTGAGATTTTGAGACTAAAGGTGGACTGAGAAAGTAGCTTTGTAATGCAAAGAGAAGAAATTAAAAACTCACGAAAGTCAATCGTACCTTTAAGTGAAATGAAAGTGAGTGAATCTCACATGAGAATTGGTTTGAGTGCATGAGCGAGGCTGACCGCTTTCCCAAATGAGCCAGGTTTGGTGGGACCGAATTACACCGCCTGCCGGGCTTCATCCCATTTACCACTTTCTGCTGGCAATTCCTGAAAATATGGCAATTAGCCCCGCGATGTAGCTTCATCCTGCATCTCATCCTCACACACTCAGGCTCATCAATTCATCCGAATTTTACTTCCTTTTACTCGAGAGAACAGACCAATTCTCATTACACGTCAATTCAGATCACAATGGCGGCTGAAGTCCGCCGCTCTAACGGCACGCGCCTTGATGCGTCCCTCGGCATCACTGAGCGCATTGCGCCGAGTATGGTCGCTTGGACTGGAGACATGCGCAAAAGGTAAGTCCTTCTATCTGCCTCATAAAACTTCTCCATTAACACAACCCCTCAGATACACCGACTTCCAAGTCTACGAAATCAACAAAGATGGTTCCGTCCTCCACCTCACAGAAACTCGCCTTCCCCCGCCGCCAAAGGAGACCACGCCGCCTCCACCAGCACCTCCTGCACCCGCTGTTCCCGTAGTAGAAGAGAAGAAGGGAGAAGAAGAGCCGAAGCCAGAAGAGCCATCGAAAGATGGAGAAGCCGCCGAGAAGCCCGCCGCGGCCATCCCCGAAGTCCCCGCTGAGGACATTGCCCTCCTCGCCTCCCTCACAAACGACGACTTCGCCAACCAGCTCGTCACCATCTACAAGACGATATCCGCTGACAAGATGGCCAAAACCGAGCCCGTCACATCCCCCATCATGGACGACAAGGACAAGCGCTCCCAGCTCCACCAAAACGTCCGCCGCATCTTCAACTCCACCATCGACACCACCACCGATCCCACGGGCGCTATCGTCGCCCGAGTCCCGCCCCCTCGCGGCAAGGGCAAGGGCATGCGTGGCGGCCGCGACAACAACAACAACCGCGAGAACAACAAACAGAAGAAGAAGCAGCCCAAGGCCGTGGCCCCCGGCGAGGGCGAGTACCTCCACTTCACCCTCTACAAGGAGAACCGCGACACCATGGACGCCCTGCACCAAATCTCCAAGGCCCTCCGCATCAAACCCCAGGCCATCGGCACCGCAGGCACAAAAGACCGCCGCGCCGCCACCACGCAGCGCTGCTCCGTCCGCGGCCAGCGCGCCGATGCCCTCCTTCGCGCCCGCCTCTTTGGCGTCACCGTCGGCGACTACCGCTACGCCCACTCGCCCATCCACCTCGGCGCCCACAGGGGCAACGAGTTCGTCATCGCCCTCAAAGACTGCCTCGTCGCCGGCAACCCCGACCTTCCCCCCGCCGACCGCTCCTCCCAGATCCGCGCCTCCGTCGAGGCCGCCATGGCGAGCATGCACAACCCGGGCTGGATAAACTACTTTGGCCACCAACGCTTCGGCACCCACGCCATCGGCACCCACGAGGTAGGCCGCCTCCTCCTGCAGGGCGACTTTGAAGCCGCCGTCAACGCGATCCTCTACTACGACGAGTCCATCGCCCAGCGCGCCCTCGCGGGCGAAGTCCCGGACCAGGGTCACGCCCGCGACGAGCTGAACCGCCACCGCGCCTGCAAGGTCTTCCGCGACGGCGGCTCCGCAGAGGAAGCCCTCTCCCACCTGCCCCGCCGCTTCTCCGCCGAGGCGAGCCTCATCCGCCACCTCGGCCGCTCCACCGCCCCGTCCCGAAGAGACTTCACCGGCGCCCTCACGAGCATCACCCGCGGCCTGCGCAACATGTACCTTCACGCCTACCAGTCCTACGTCTGGAACCACGCAGCAAGTCACCGCTGGCGTCTGTATGGCAAGAACGTAGTCAAAGGCGACCTCGTCCTCGAGTCTTCCTCCGCCGATGCAGACGCAGACGCGGACAACGAAGGAGGAGACGACGACGCAGACTCCTCCTCCGCCCCAGCCCGCGCCCTCACCGCCGAAGAAGCCGCCTCGGGAACCTACACCATCCACGACATCGTCCTCCCCTCCCCGGGCCACGCCGTGGCCTACCCCACCAACGCCATCGGCGAATTCTACACAACCTTCATGCGCGACAACGGCGGCCTCGACCCGCACGACATGCTCCGCCGCCACCGCGAATTCAGCCTGCCGGGAGCGTACCGCAAGGTCGTCGTGCGCTTTCTCTCGGAACCCAGCTTCGAGGTCCGCGCGTACGAGGACGGCGAGGAGCAGATGCATCCCACCGACATGGACCGCATCCGCGCAGCAGCTGGGCGTGGCGGGAACGGGAAGAAGCGGGGCCGTCAGGAGGATGAGAACGCCGGGGATCAAGATGCGGCGAAGAAGGTCAAGACCGAGGCGGGTGCGGCTGGAGTGGATGGCGAAGCTACGGCGGATGAGCCGATGCAAGACGCGCCGGCACGGACCTCGGAACCGAAGCAGGAGCAAGAGCCGGAGCAGCAAGCGGAGACCACCGCCGCCGATCCGAACGGTACCCCGTCGACCCCCGAAAAGACAAAGACGGCCGTCGTGGTCACCTTCCAGCTCCCCAAGAGCGCCTACGCCACCGTCGCGCTGCGGGAACTGATGGGCGTCGACGAGTCCGAAGTCGCCGCGGCTCCTACGGCTGCCCCCGCTGCCCCTGCTGCTGTCATCACTGATACTACCGCTGCTGCCCCCGAGGCTGCCGAGGTACCAGAGACTTCCAAGACTACGACTGCGGAATCATGAAATACCTTACTTCACAGAAGGGAAAGATTGACACAAAAAAACAAAAGGCATCACCGCTTCACGGCTCAAAAAGGTGATCTACTTGGCATGTAAATGGTTGTAGACTAGATACCCCCTCGATAGATTCGTTGAATCAAGCATATATATGTACAATGCCACCTACAAGGCCAATCCTACTCTTACCAACCCACTTAGTTTGTTCCCTCGGCCATAAAGAAAAAGGGTAAACCCCAATCAGCATTGGCAGATTTCTTTTGTTTGTATTGTTCCAAACCGAATAGACAATCGCTTGGATACACAATAATGCCTACAGTCTTCGCTGAATATCCGCCGCCACCGCCGCTTGTCCAGGTACACGTCTGCCTCCGCTACATATATCCAGAAAGTAAATCTGACCCCCTGAAGGCGTAACATTGGCAATCCTGTGCCCGTAATGCCCGTCGCTTATTAAATCATGAAAAATGGCCTCCTTCTTCCGCTTGCTTCATCGCTGTAGAGTTGTCTCCCTTTGAACTCGGTTCTTTGTTCATGTTTCGCTTGTGGTGTGTTTGATGCTTTCCTCGATAGCTGGCCCAGGTTGCCGTGGTCATCTTGCCAAGGAGCAACAATGTACTTTTTGCTGCTTTGTGGTTGACGTGTCGCCGTGATTTCGCCGTATGTAACAATGTTACTGTCGTCACGACATTGTGCCTATCAGCCAATCATTGCTTGGTATCCCAGCCCCATACCTGAGCCAGGTACTTGGCCATGTTGACACGCTTCGCGCGCATTTCCACCATCCACGGGTGCTCGAGCATCCGCCATGGGCTCGCTCGCCTTGTGGGTTCCTTCTCCAGGCTGTGATAGGTCAGTACATGATTTCATAATTCATACCAAACTCTCGTCACTCACCAGCACTCGATGAAATACTTGAAGTTGTCACTCCAGAAAATGTTGGCATCCGGCTCATCCTTGAGCTTTGGTATCGGCTGCCGCACAATGTAGGTGAGAAGGTCGATCAGCCCAGCTCGTGGTTGCATCTCTGTGCCATCGGCCGGGAAGGGGAATCGATGTTGGGCCACTTCCAGCAGAGTTACGCCAGTCGACCACACGTCAGAGGTGATGGTGTAGGATTGGCCGGTGATGCGCTCGGGAGCCATGTAGTAGCTGGTGCCGATGAAGGTATTGGCTTCACCCTTAGTACCAAAGTCTCCTGAGACACCAAAGTCGCATAGCTTGACATCGCCATTCCTGCAGAGCAAAATGTTGGATGGCTTGATGTCTCGGTGGATAATACGCATGCCGTGCAAGTACGTCAGTCCCCGCAGAACGCCCTCGGAAATCTTGCCGAGAACCTTCTCGCCTGTCCGTCCACCGAGTTTCTTGACCTCCTTGTAAATACTGTCCAGGGAACCGCCTTCACAAAACTCCATGGCGATTGAAATCGTTCCCGTAGTCGAGTCCTCAAAGGCGCCATAGTAACGGCAGATATGCTCCGACGCGCACTCTTTGTTGAAACCCAACTCGCGTACAATCTGCTTCTTAACGTCGGGATCGGGATTTGTGGTAATTACCTGGGCATGTTAGTCTCCAATTTTGTCGGTGTGGGAAATGAAGCGTTCGCACCTTGAGGGCGAATGTGGTTTTTCCACCCTTCAATTTGGCTTTTGTGACGGCTCCGCCGGCACCCTCGCCGAGACTGCCGAGCTCCTCGATCCGATTTTCCATACTCGCGACCCTCCACGACTCGGAGTCGAGCTCCTCCACATCCAGCGTCCTGCCCCGCTCTAATGACAGCTTGTCAAAAGCTTCTAGACCCTGCAAACTGCCGTCCCGTTCCATACCGACACCGCCTTCGCTCCGCTCAGAGTAGATTGATCCCACCGCGGACGACGGGTCGGGAGTTCCTTGAGGCCGCGCAAAGCCATATTGTGAGGCAAAGGACAGTGCCGAGTACTGAGAGCCAGCTGACGTGGGGTTGCTAGCTCGACCATCCAGAGGGCCGAAGCTTCCAGATCTCGAGTGTGCCGCACTGCTCTCGCTACCGCCGCTGGCAGATTGTCCTACGCCTCCCACACGAGGTGGTTGCTCGTAAGGTGTCGACTGGCTGCCCATCGGCGTAGCCAGGTGAAGGGTTGGGAGAGGTGGTCGTGAGTTTACGGGTTGAGGTGCTTGTCCGCCGACGGGTTTCGCGTTTGGTGATGGGGGGATGGCGAGACCGAGTCGAGGTGTTCGGGCACCTCCACCTCGGCCGCCGGGAATGGCAGGGCGAAGGAGAGGAACTGGCGAGTTCATCATGGGGACGGAACCGGGCGTGGACAGAGGAGAGGGGACACTGGGCGGTGCCTACGTGAAACAATCAGTACGATTCGCTACAGAGGCCATCTAAAGAGCTCATCAGGCGAACATGCTTACCTGGTGAGGAGGCTCCATGGTCTGAGGTTGTGAGGGATTCTGATCGGCCATGGCAACGGAGGTAAGTTGGGTAGACCGAAACGATGCGGTTGAACCTGGAGAGAGTTGTACCCCAGACGTAGGATGCCACAAAGTCGCAAAAAAGGGCCGAAACCAAGCCAAACTACTTGACGAGGTAAGTCGAGGTGTGACGGCTGCGGTACTGGGCACAGGCAGAAAGACAGAAACTAGCGTGGTCGAATAGTTTCGTAGGAGCTGACGTAGCGTAGATCAAGTTGGAAAGCGACGGCCGCCGAGCGTTTGATCCTCTGGTTCGAGGCTGAGTAAACAATAAGACTATCGGGGGCGTTTTGTTGAAGATCAGAAGGCTTGGAAGCGAGAGACTGGAAAGTAAAACGTCGGCGGATAGCTTTCCCCGCAGGATTCAGAAGATGGGTATTGAGGTGGGAGAGAGAGTAGATTTGGGGTGCGCGGGTGACGTCCCGGTACCCAAGGTAAGATGAGCAGAGGCGATATGGATCGAGGTGGTAGTTCCTGGTCTGTATCGGGACCGGGGGACGGAAGAAGGAGGTTTCCTGCTGTTTCTCTTCGGAATGAAGGGACCGGCTTTGAGGTTTGAGCAGACCGGAGAGAGAGAGGGGAGCAATGCAAGAGCAAACGACAACGGCGCAGTGGCGACGGGCGAGCCCTTGGACCTTGGTTCCTTTTGAGAAAGACGACAGGAAAGTGAGTGAATGGAGTGGGATTCAAGTGGGCAAAAAAGGCGGGGAGCGGCGGGACGGGGACGAGCTTGGGCGCTAATTCCAAGGCCAAGTTCCAATGGAAAACGGGGAGGGGGCTCTGGGTAAACTGGGGGCCTTTTCAGGGCCTGATGATTGAATGCACTGGGTGACTGCCCTGAGGTAAGGTAGGTGGAGGTAAAGGCAAGGTATTAAGATGGGAGGAGGTACAAGGCCCACGTAATGGAGCCAATGTATCTTTTTGGGATGGCGCACTCGACCTGTGGTGCAAACTGCGGGACAGCTACACGAAGTGGCCAGGCTTGAGCCATCATTCTCTTGTACCTTTTTGATACTGTAAACCACCTCACCTCCTGATAGCGAATCTACCCTCCCAAGGAAGGTAGGTAGGTAAGTACAGCTTGCCTTACTAAGGTACCTGTGGTAAGTAAGGTACTGCCCGCCTTACACTCTTCCATCCGTCTTGCCTCATCTTGCACCTACACGAACGACAGAACAGCACCGACGACGACAAAAAGTCAATCAGCACATCAATCGAAGCTGCGCCGAAAACCAAAGTGCGCTCGGTCGCTTCTTTTAAACCCTTCCAGCGTCTTGGGGCAGAAAAATGCGCCACATTACGGGAGTCCCTTGCGTCGTCTGAGGTTCTGGCCCTCCCCAGTTGAGTATCTTCTAGCATGAGAATCGGCCCTGGGGTCTGGACTCTGGATTTGTAGACTCTGAATTGGGTTGGAGACGACAATGGTCTCCGTTTGTACGCTTCTACCGATACAACTTCGAGGCTGTCCGATCCACTGCACAAGAGTCAGTCAGTCACCATCAACTCGCTTCTGTGCGCCTATCTTTATCCGCACAATCCTCGAATAAGGACTGTTTGGCGGAAGACAAAGCCAATGCCGCTGTTCCGAATCGACCGTTGCAAGGCACCCGTCATCAGGACGCGTGTTTGACCAAGAATCAAGAAATGTATACACCTCGTCACCGCCCAACATAAACAAACCCGACACAGTACACCACCTCCAAACAGTCACGCTCTCCAGCACAAAGCACGGTGTGATGAGTGGGCTTCCAACCGTCACCACAGAGAGCAGCTCTGCCCACTCGGAACGCCCATTTCCTGGCGCTGCGCAATGGACAATGGGCAGACGCCTGACCAGTTACACACACCCGTACGGCGACGAAGTTTGAGAGGGCGTCCAAAGCCATGGGGGGCATGAGCGATGAGACAGGGGTTGCGCTGTCGTCGGTGGTGTGTCGTCCATGTCTTGGGCTGCCATTCGATGCCCTGCCCTGCAATCGCTCCTTGCGGGTTGCTCCCCCCTCTTGGCCCCTCCCCGGCCAAGCACCAAGCATCTCTTCGTGCCATCGTGGGCATGCCGCACGCCGCACGTCGCACCGTCGCACGCACCAAGCTGGGCCCTGCACTGATTTCCGACCGTCTTCTGCATGAGCTCGAGATGCACAATCCGGGAGACGTCCCCGATGCAACCTGACTCTTCTGTCCTTCCAGGGCGATGGACTGTCTGATGGGTGGGACGCAATTGTTTGACGAATTTGAGAAACTGTCGGGCCCTATCCATTGCTATACTGGCTCTTTCCGCGGGATTGGCCGTTGCTTTTCTCTCTAGGTATCCTACAACCCCTTGGTTGACCATGAATTCTAGCTGGTCTCCGGCCAATAGCTGGCGGGAATACTGAGCCAACGACACTCATCCCGTCACATTCACATCCTCACACCATCCCCGCGGTGTCCCCTACATGACTGCAGGATCAAAGAACAGATTAATGCGGGCTTTCGGCAACCAATCTCCATCCGTCCAATTCCTACATAAGAGGTCGGTGTGTTGATGAAACTCGCATAAGCCATTTGACAGCGCCGTTTTGGCTGAAATGGGGGGCATTTCCGGCGGCAGCATCTGAAGGAGAGAATAAGAAGAAACGGGGGCAGCACACGGAGCTCTTTTCGGCACATGCTGTTGAATGTGGCTCCTGTATACGGCACACGTTGACACGGCACATCTGCCGCGGCTTCCAAATCTTTTGGCATTACGACCCAACAGCGTCGGCATCGCAGTCCGTTTGAGCAATTCCAGTCAGCTGATTGCAGACCCAGGCGGCGAACTGGTGGTTGCAGACATGCCGTTCTTATTGCTGTGCCTCTTCCACCGGCGATGCGGCACGAATAGGGTGGTTCCCCGATGAGGGGGGAAGCATTTGCAGACAAGCAGCACGCACGACCATTGGGGTCCGAATCACGGGAAGAGTTTTGTTCGGTTATTGCCTCTTTCTCACCATCCTACCCTGTGGCCGGTCCGGCGACGGCGATGAGCCGACAAGCGGTTAAGGTGATGACTGTGGTGTTTGACGGGCCACGGATTCGAGACCTCACCGCATTATCCGCACCGCTGGACCTGGACCCTGATCAGACGAAGGCCCGGTTTTTCAAGGCCCTGCTCCAAAACACCTACGTGGTGTATCGCAGTTGCATCGTCTTGGTCGGGGGATTTCCGATGCCCACTTTGCCAGCCTGGAACGCGTGCGGCGTGCCTGACTAGTCGCACCTCTCGAGTACCAGACAAGAGAGTGAGGCAAGATGGAAGCAAAACTTGAAGGCAGGCTTACGGCGTAAGTTCTGCTGACGTTGTCCGGCTATGACAATTCGTCTGTCAAATCCGGGCTATTGGGTCCCAGCTGCGAGGTCAAGTCAGAACCAGCGGTATGTCAGACGGGCACGTCCGAGAGGGAGAAACCCAAATCATCCGAGTCCATCTTATTGAGTTGGATTGTCGGTCCAGCTGGCCTCTATGCTTCCGACAGTCAGGAAACGACATCCGGCTGCGATTTGGCTTTTCAACCCCTCACTATGTTCTCCGCAGGCGTTCTTCACATCCAGAGCCCGTCAGAATCGGATTAATCATCCGACACGGAGAACGCAAAGCGGGCGAGTGTCTGCTCGACTTCTGCTCGTCGGTGTCCGAGGCTCCTGCTCATGCACCAGCATCTGCATTCGTTCCAGGAACAGATCCCTGGATCCCGCCAAGGGGCACAAGGCGGAAACTGCGTCTATGCTGGCCCCATCCCTGGGCGGGAAGCAACGTTATGCTGTCATTAGCCTCAGCCCTGAAAGTTTCCGGGCCTCTGTGGCTCTTCTGCATCGAGCATGGTCCTGGCTAGACACTCCAACATCGGCTCGACTCATCTTGGAAAGGCGCTGGATGTATGCTTTCTTTCCCTCTGCCCGACGCACAGATGGTTGAGTCGGAGGGGGAAAGTTGTCGTTGCCTACGGATGAAATATGCAGTCTAGAGATGACAGGTGTGTGAAGTTTGACCGTGTCCAGTCCACGTAGATGCATTCTGAGAGGTATTACACACCATCATAAAATTCAGACTCACACACTCAACCGTCCGCCGCCCCCGTCGATTACCGCTATAATCAACAAATTCATCTGGTATCATCACCACGGCCTATGTCGTAGCGGAGAAAGTTAGCGAACTTGAAGGAATAACTCCGCACACATAGGTCCCGGGTTCGAGTCCCACATTGTTCTTGTAAAAATCCTTGCATCATTACACCTGAGGCTGGTAAGAGCCTCCTCGGATTTTTCGTAGGCTCCCTATGATAGGGAGCTGAGCTTTTGTTTTGGCCACTGAATGAACGACGGATGGATGATACCTCAACTTTGTCGGCTCAGATACGTATTCTCGCTTGCTGTCCTCTTACTGGCCAATTTGCCTTGTCACTCGCGCCGTTGGAGTCCCCGGTCACTCACTAAGGTCACTCACTAAGGCACTGTAACTGCGTAGCTCCGTTTCTCTAGGCGCGCGTCTACCGTCTCAATGCGGAGCCCTGGTACTGACCGCCTTCCATTCCAATTGGTCTGCCCCACGCCAGAGCCCCCTGGACCATTCACCCCACCAGCCCGCCGCGCCGAAGCTTTGGCACTTTGCAACCAAAAACTTTTTGGACCCTTGCCCGAAAATTCTCAGACGTTGGTGCAGCTGCTGCAGTCGAGCCCATCACCATCACAAACTTTATGCTACAAGTCTCAGGTCCACGATCAAATCGCGTCACAACCGGCATAAAACAGAACAGAGACTGATCGCCCTCAATGCCGTCCTCTGCAACCCCCAGACGACCGGGCCGTGCGGCCGAAGATGAGGTTCCGGTATCCTCTCCCGCCAACTCTTCCGGCTCCGAGTCCGAATCCGACTACCTCGACAGTCCCGCCTCGCGCAAGAGACGGAGAACCGACCCCACCGCCGAGCCCGATCTCGAATATATCGAGAACGATGATGACGATGAGGAGGAAGAGCTCAAGGCTGTCGTGTCTACCATTCAAGCCCCCTCAAGATTCAAGCGCGCCGCCGCCGCCGCTGTCGACCAAGCTCCCCAGACCTCACGCCCAGCAGCGCCGTCGCAAAACACAATCACTGCGCCAACAGACCCCAACACCACCTTCTCCGCCATAAACGTACGGCCATGGCTCGTACAGTCGCTGGCCAACATGGCAATCAAGAGACCGACGGGCATTCAAAAGGGCTGCATACCAGAGATCCTCAAGGGCCGGGACTGCATCGGCGGAAGCAGGACGGGTTCCGGTAAAACGGTCGCCTTCGCCGTGCCCATCCTTCAGAAATGGGCCGAGGATCCCACCGCCATCTTCGGCGTCGTCCTGACCCCCACCCGCGAGCTCGCCCTGCAGATCTTCGAGCAGTTCAAGGCCATCTCCTCCCCACAGAGCCTCAAAATCGTCCTCGTCACCGGTGGCTCCGACATGCGCTCCCAGGCCATCGCCCTCGCGCAACGTCCCCACGTCGTCATCGCCACGCCGGGCCGTCTGGCCGACCACATCCGCACCTCGGGCGAAGACACCATCTGCGGCCTCCGCCGCGTCAAATACGTCGTCCTCGACGAGGCCGACCGCCTCCTTGACGGCACCGGCCCAGGCAGCATGATCCCCGACGTAGAAGAGTGCCTCTCCGTCCTCCCGCCCTCCTCGAAGCGCCAAACCTTACTCTTCACCGCCACAATCACCCCGGAAGTCCGCGCCCTCAAAGACATGCCCCTGAAGCCCGGAAAACAACCCGTCTTCGTCTGCGAGGTCGACACCCAGGCCCTCGCCATCCCCGCCACGCTCTCGCAGATGCACCTCCAGGTGCCCGTCACCCACCGCGAGCACTACCTGCACACCTTCCTCCTGACGGACGGCAACGAGGAGAAGTCCGTCATCATCTTCTGCAACCGCACAAAGACGGCGGATTACCTGCACCACCTGCTGCGCATGCTCGACCACCGCGTCACCTCGCTGCACTCGGCCCTCCCGCAGCGCCAGCGCGTCGACAACCTGGGCCGCTTCCGCGCCGCGGCGGCGCGCATCCTCGTCGCGACGGACGTCGCGTCGAGAGGTCTGGATATCCCCGAGGTCGGGCTCGTCGTCAACTACGACATCCCGCGGAACCCGGACGATTATATCCACAGGGTCGGTCGCACGGCGCGTGCGGGGCGGAAGGGCGAGGCGGTGACGTTTGTCGGGCAGAGGGACGTTGAGCTCGTGTTGGCGATTGAGGCGCGTGTGGGTAGGGAGATGGAGGTGTGGAGGGAGGAAGGGGTGAATTTGGAGACGAGGGTCCTCAGGGACGCGCTCAAGATTGTGAGCGAGAAGAAGAGGGAGGCGTTGTTGGAGCTCGAGGAGGGGAGGGAGGTTGGTGGCAAGAGGAAGAGGACGAAGCAGAAGCTCAATGCGTGAGATTGTGTGGGAGGGGAGAAGGAAAAGTCACTTGCTGTTTGAGATGGGAACTTGCATACTGGCGTAGGTTTGATTTGTGTGGGATAGACAAAACAATACCCAATAGACAACAAAGTCTTCGAGAACTTCTGACCACGATGGCCTCTGAGGAATGATGTTTAGTAGTCACCACAGCTTGAACTTGTTCGTTTCAGAAAGCTTGAGATAAACGGTGCCACCCACCAGCTCCAAGGCTCACCGATTCAGAACGACCAGCAAGCAGTATTAAAGGAGAGCAACTGAGCCTCGTTACGTTCCGCTCTCGCTCACTCCCCACGAACCCCAAACCAATTGGTTCGGGAACCATTGTCCAACAATGCTCGATGGTCTTGTTATCCTGCCTTTGGTGATAAAGCTTAGTTGATGTTGAGAACCCCTGCATAGAGAATAATGTCTATTCCGCATCTTCATTCACGCTCCCGTTCGTTCGTATTCGTGTGAGCTATGTGAGAGAGCGTAGGGGGGGCAAGATGGACGTGGTTAATATGTCCTATGTTGTCGTTCATGCTCTCTCTTATATTCGTGAGTGTAAAGTAAGGGAGCATAAGGGAAGGAAAAGATGGATGTAAGTGACTTATCCTATATTACCGTTTATGCTCCCGTCGTATTCGTGAGAACTAAGTAAAGGAGCGTGAGCGGGAATGAACACAGACTGCTTTGTTACATGTGCGGGTATGTTCACCCCTCTGATCTAGATTTGCTTTGGGAACTTATTGAGGTTACGCAGAGCCAATCCATCCAGAGGGGACTCGGGGTAATGTAAATCAATAAGGTTGAAGACGCCGCAAGCCCTCGCTTAACGTGAGAAAATGCGTGTCGATCCGTAGTCTTCAAACATGTGAGACATTCTCTCTGGCGATGTTTGACTCACACTTAGACCAAGTCGATGGGAATGATTTGTTCATCACCGTTTATACGAAAGTCCACCGGACTTGTCTTGGAAATCAAGTTTAAGGCTTTGGGGCTTAGACACGAAAGTACTCAACTCACATGTGAGAAAGAGGACAATGGAGCGCATGGAAGCTTTATCAAAGTAGTTTCATATTGAGCAAATCATCTGAAGATTGCTTAGTTTGGATATATTTTATGCACTACGTGCGGAAAAAGCTCACCCTATATAAAATCCTCTCAGTGATTTCCCTTCAATAGTGTACGCTGACATACGTATTTCTTGAAATTAATATCTCAAGGTTATGTTGAGGTGTGTCTAGTCAAAATCAAAGGGAAAGAAAGAGATGCCCTGATAGGTAAGGTGTTCATATAGATTTCTAACATCGATATAACCAGGCCATCTCCCCCGCTCACTTGCTGCTTTATTGCTGTTGTAAAGCTGCTGACGTATTTTATTCCCATACAAATGATCCAGTTAGACTGGTAAGCTCCATTATTCTCGGAAGCTCTCAGTACAGATTTGAAACCGTAAGATCAGGTCTCTGACTGCTGCTGCTGGTCTCATGTGCCCACTTATGTAGATGGCTCTAAGTCTCTGTACTATTCGGCCCTGGGAGCACGGCTCTAGAATATCGGCTGTTGTAAATGAATAAAGGGGGAGGGACTGCGCTCCGTCTTCATAGGCTTTTCTTACGCATACAGCTGGACTGTAACTTATTATCGTCTTTAACATATTGATTTGAAACGAAATTTCTATGGTCAGGAATTATCTGGACTAAGTTGTCGGTTGTGGGGCGCTCTGAGCCAGAGAATTTGGTGAAGATACAGCTCTACACTCTAAGTCTTCGGAGTCCCACTCGAAACCAACAACGTCACGACGGCGGCGGCCAGTTTCCAACCAACACCACCTTTCAACATCGCCGTAACCTAGCCAGCTGTCCCTCTCGGCCAAGACTGCCTTCAGTCCCCCTTGGTGCAGGAGATGTCTGCCACGAGCATCACGATGTACGAGCTAGAAGAAAGACTAAATGGGTACGGTAGGATTTGGTTCGTACCTGCCGAGGCGTACAGTTTCTAGTTTCCTGATGGAGCAGGGGATCGGCCAGGGGTTCCTCACTCTGTGCTCACGAATACGAACGGGCACAGAAATGACGATGCCGTGATGGATGATGCGAGCATGATGATCTTACATTCTGGACGGTCTCTATTGTAAGGTCCTCAAGACCAACTATGCTTTGTCACTCAAGGCAAGATAACAAGGCCCTTGAGCATCATTGGATAATGGTCTCTATCTCAGCTGATCTGGCGTGAAGCATGAGAATGAACGCGGAGCAGAGGCCCGATCGTTCTTGCTTTTATCATCGTCATCTTGAGGGGGCAAGCAGCCGTTTGGTATCTCGGAAACACACCAATTTTCCGATTCCCATATCTCATGAAAATGGCCTTTGACGAAATGACCTGTTACCGTTGCACATTACCAAGCCTTTTGGATCTAAAGCTATCCCAGGTTCGGTGATGCCTTCGTGCTCACGGATTCTATTGCTTGCCACAAAGCATCAGCAATCACTTAAAATGCAT